AGCTGCTGATTTTTTATTTGCTGCAACAGAGAGCAGGAAAGGGGCATGGCAATGTATTTTTACATATGTATGCTTGACTACTCTTCAAGGAGTGTAGTCCTCGATCCTCGTGCCACCAATCACGCATATCGATGCATGATGGCCGAGGAGTCGATTTGCATGACTTAATATGAAATGAATGCACACATAAACACAACAAGACCGAGACTCCATCATGAATAATCCGGAGTGTCGGTGATTGGGAATTGAGACACGTTCCGTCACTCGAAGTACGAAACGTCCCTCGTTTCCCGTGCTCGGACTAACTCCTATCCCAAACACAATGCAATATGCATGACATGCATGAATGCAATTCTAACATGCAACCTAGCATACACAATGCTATCAAATGGCATACACAATGCGCGATGTAACATGGCATACACGATGCTCTAACATACAACCTAGCATATGCAATGCTATGAATCGAAATGGCATACACAATGCATAATGGACTTACACCAACATGAGTGGACCTCAGCCACACTCACATCAGTAGCCATTAGATGAAAAATGAGACTCTCGAAATACGTGCACGCATGTACGCAAACCGAGGACCGAACCTAAGGCATAGTATACAACTCTAACAAGGCATGTCAAGGCATGAAATGTGGCACATAAGCATGTAATTCCAGCACTGAAATATGATACAAAGCAGTCCCAAAACATGGAAACATGGCACCCGATGCATGGAATGAACCCCGAAACTCGAAACTAGGCACACGGAATGACTTACAGCTATACAAAGCATGCATTATTTGATCATGAAGCATGAAGACAGATGCAAGAAAGTCCCAGAACATGCATATTTCCAGTTTATAACAAGTCTCAAAAATGAACACAAATAGGGCTAATCTATCATGCAAAAATGGCCCTAAAAGAGAGATTAAACACAAATGGACAGCAGTTGGCCCCAAATGGCAAAGATCCCTTCAACAAAGTTGAAGAGGGGCTCAAAACAAGGCACTTTACAGTTTAGAGGGGCTCAAAACAATTGCTGGTCGGCCACCTCAAAAAGGTGGCCTCCCATGTGTGCACGACACAATTATGTAGTCAAAACCCAGAAAAAGTGAACCAGGAGAGAGAAAAGACCATTTTTTAGAGGGGTTCAAAAGGGGCAGGCACAATTACTGGTCGGCCACCAAATGTTGGTGGCCTCCCAAGTGTGTACAACACAAATATGGGGTTTATGGTTCAAGAAAGTGGCCCCGGGGTGGTCAATATTGGCTTTCAAGTGAGGAAAACAGGCGTCGGAGAGCGATGAAGGAATAAAGCTGGCTTTTCAGAACAATTGCTGGCCTCCCACCCTCCTACGAGCTTCCTAACTATGAAAATAAGGTCTCCACCAAAAATGAACCAAAACGGATGCAAAACGGAGGTTCGGGGACCGAAACGCGTGGCCCGGGGCCCCGAAAATGGGCTGTTGAGAATCGGAGGTGGCGTTCGACCATGAAGTTGGTCTCTCAGGCGACAGTGTTCCTCAAAAGGGAGGAAATAAGGTGTATGCCAAAAACCGGAGCAAACGGAGGTGGTTAAGCGGTCCCGAACCGAGACACACGGCCGACGACTCCGAAAAACTAGAAACCGGGCTCCAAACGGGCAAAAATGGCCTACAACCACGAAACGTAGCCTATGGCCACTGAGAGATGGTCTACGAGACCTCTCTCTCCCATTGGGAAGAGAAAACAGAGAAAACGGGACCTGGTTCGCAAATCGAGGCAAAACACGAAAGAGCCCCGAAGTCCGGAGGCAAGGCTCACAGCCGAGACTCTGAAACCTCAGAACGAGCACCATATGCGACATCACCAAGCGCTCAATCGGTGACGTCTGAGTCTTAAGGTCGGTCAAAAATGGGGTGTCTACAGTTGCCCCTTTTTGACAGAACTCTGAAGTCGAGAGTGAGGCGAAATTCAAGGCACGTCTTGCGGTGAAAGTCTCTGTTCCAAGCATGGTTGTTGGAGTGGTTGCATTTTGCAGTATAGGGTCGACAGTGACTGTCGAAGGATCTTCCGTTACCCTCGCCATGGATGTGCTTGAGTATTCCCACAGACGGCGCCAATTGTGGAGAAGTGGTTTGGAAATACTCTTCTGATCTTGGGAAACACTAGTGATCCTCTTCCGGTCACCTGAAAAGGAATAAAACACTCCGGCGGAGGTGCCGGAATTAGCATTCCGACGGACAAGTCAGTAACCACGCTCAGGAATACTTATATTCTAAGTTAAGCACTTCAATTCTCACCTACCTTTCTTAGTCTGTTGTTCCTTTATTTATACTTGTTTCCTGGGCCTCGTGGCCAGGCCCACTTGTCACTCATTATCCTCTTTTTTACTCGGCTCCATAACTCAGTATCTATTCGGCCTATCTATTATATTCGGCATCCTTATCGTGCAAGGTAGAGCCGTGTAAAGTCTGTCTTCTAGAGTACGCTTCTGATTATTCCAATTATCCGGCTCCCACAATATGCATTCAGTAAATTTGGATCTTAGTATCTTGTATCTATGAGTGAAAAAAAAATATAAAAAATTAAAATTATATACAACATTTTTCAAAATTAAAATGTCATAGTCCATCTAGCTCACATAAACATGGCAATTAATTAAAAGTAACTAAGGCCTCGTTTGGGAACAGGTTTTTTTAGTAATTTTTTAATTTTTTGACAAAAATATGATGTAAAAAAAACTAGTATGTTTGGGATGACTTTTTGATTTTTTATGAAAAGATGTGCAAAAAGTAGAGAGAAAATGGAATCTTTGTCTTTTTTATATAAGTTTTTGATTTTCTAATTTTTTTTAATAACTTTTTGACTTTTAAGCTAAAAATGTTACTTCCCAAACGAGGATTAATACTGGTGATCCATGTAGTTTCCATCTCATCTCAATTTGGTTGTAGTTTCAATTGTATTAATTTTGTATATTAATTTAAGTTTAATTTCTAAATGGACATTATTGTTAGACTAAATTAACATAATATGAAAAATGTAAAGATAAAATTAATAATAAGAATTATAAAAATTAAATTGACACAAGAAACAAATTAGTTGTGGATTAATCAATTGGAAGCCCTTAACAACTTTACAATGCCTCCGTTTGAGAAGCGGGTTAGCTTTTTGATTTTTTGACTATTTTAGCCTGGGCTAAAAAGCTTAGTTTGGGAAGGACTTTTTGACTTTTTAACTTTTTTTGTGAGAGAAGAATATAATAATTATAAATTAAATATGATATTTTATTTTTTATAATTAAAATAATTTATTTTGTCTTTTATAATTAAAATAATCAAAAAAATTCCGTTTAACTCTCGCCAAACGGATGTTTTGATTCAATTCTGAGTTATTTTGGATGAGCAAGGGTTGGACATGGATTACAAGAGCATGCACATAGACCTGGCTCGCATGACTTGGGGGCAACTTATCAAAGACAGTTGACGTGTCACTGTCCCATCCTCTGATGACACTCCACAGTATGTCTCCCCCACTTTTACAATTTTATAATGCCTCGTGTCAATACTTTACATTGTTGAAAAGGACACGTCAACAATGTGAATGGTGGGCCCACTTTTATTAGCCATCTAATCCCATTCATCTAAAATAAGAGAATGAATAATATCAAATATTATGAAAAAAATATTATAAAAATAATTATTAAATATTTTATATATTTAGATTATACATAAAATAAAATATTACATGTTAATTAAAAGATAAAAATTATTTATGATGTGTTTTATGATATTTTTTTCATGATCGTTAGTATTATTCTAAGAGAAAGTTTGAACCAGAAAAACCACTTAGCATTCGTTTGGTAGAAGTTCAAATGGGATTTTTTGGGTTAAAATAGTCACAAAAGGATAAAAAAAAAAGTTTTTTAGCTTAATAAGATAAAATGGCACATTCAAACCATAATCGTTTCACTTTTTCACTCACAAAAGTAAAAAAAAAAAAATCAAAAAGCCTATCACAAACAAGACTTTTTAACCCTAGGTTAAAATAACTAAAAATTTAAAAAATCAAAAAGTCAATCCACATCCCAAGCGAACCTTTAAAGTTTTTTGCTTAGATGATTGTATAGTGAAAATTAAATTTATGTGATGTGAAATTTATATGAGGAATAAATCTGAATTCTAAATAATAATTTTAAATAAATTTTGAGTAATTATGTTTTTTTTTTTTGAATTCCGAGTAATTATGTTTGGATTCATAATATTGAAATAATAAAGAATAATATAGTATAATAATAATAATGAATTACATGGTTGGGTGGTGGACAAAACCCTTGGATCAACGTTATAATAATTCTAATTGACTAAACTTGCCAACTTGCTTGCTTTTCTTTCACCAAACCATGAATAGATGGATCTTTGCTTGTTCTTTTCATTAGAAACCTCAAATAGAGTACTAAAATCTCTTGAGAATTTAGAGTGAATCTCTGGGCTTTTCTAGACTTCTCTTACCTTAATTTATACTTCTTGCTTGTTGCTTGTAGTTCTATAAGAGCTGTGAATATACATGCATGTATATATATGTAGAGAGAGAGAGAGAGAGAGAGAGAGAGAGGATTCATGTAGTGCTATAAATTCTTTGTTGCTGGTGATTGCCATATATGAACAAGCTGATCCAAAAAAAAAGAAAAAGAAAAGACATGAACAAAATTCTTTCCTTTTCATCTTTTGAGTTGGTAGTTGTAAATTCAGTTGGTGGCCGTTGATGACTACAATGAATCACTTCAAGATCAAGATATTGAACAGTCATTAGAAGTATAGAATTGATTTCACAATATTTCTCTAAAATTAAAAGAAAACCAAGATTATGTGATTTTACTTTATCTTAGCATGATAAAAAAAATAAAAAATAAAAAGAGGGTGGGACCTAGGGTTTCAGTCTCTGTTGCATTGGCCTAATCTCTTCACAAATATAGATATTCTTTTTAATTAAACATTATTTTAGTCTAGAAGCACTAGCTACTAGAACAGAAACGTGCGATAACATTAAACTCAGATAAGGAAATTTTTTACAAAAAATTAAAAAACAAACCACTCATACTAGCATTCCATGCCTTCATTCTTAGCACATATTAATCAAAGCAAGTTCATAAATAGTTTTTTTTTTTTTTCGGTGGAAGCTATTTAGATTAAGTTACTATATATATATGTATATTTTATTGAAAAAATTAAATTGCTGGATTTAAGGGAATTTCCACAGATTCTGGTCTCCTGTATTTTCAGCTGAACTGTCATCATCCCAAACATCCAGCCGCGGAGGGCTAAGCATCATGCCTTCAGCCATATTCACAAGAATATTAGGCATATCGAACAACAAATCCTCATCAACAAACTCATGATTTGCCGTTGAATTCCCCGGTGCAGTTGGATTTTCAGCCTGATAATACCCAGATAGAGCATCCCTGGCAGCCCCAGCTGCGGCGGCTGCACTTGCTGCAGCCGCCTGAATATCACGCGGGGAGGTAGAGGCCGGAACTGGCAACGAATAAGCTGAGTTGGGAAAATTCAACTCAGCTTCATGACCCTTGAGAGCCCGAGCGGCCACGTCATAGGCCACAGCGGCCATCTCAGGGGTCGGAAATGTCCCGAGCCAAATCCGGTTAGGCGACCTCGGTTCTCGAATCTCCGAAACCCATTTCCCACTGCTCTTCCTACGCCTTACTCCTCGGTAAACCGGGTGTCGCCCAGACTCCTGAGCAGAAGGGGCCTCAGCGAGAGTCTGCGAGGATGACACGTGGCTGCCACTGCTACTGCTACTGCTACTGCTAGAATGTGCCATTAGACTATTGTACGGTACTAATAAGTGATGCATGAAGTCTGGGGGGGTGAAGAAGATTGGCTGGAAGAGATTTTTGGAGGAGAAGAAGGAGGTGAGAGAAGCCATTTATGGAGGGTGGGTTTTTAGGGTTTATTCTGTGAATGCAGTGTATGGAACTGGGAATTGGAATTGGGAAGTGCAAGACAGTTGGTGATGAACTTGAGGCCTGTGAGGAGGAGGGTTTTGGGTGTAAGCCAGCCTTTGTAGTGTTGTACATCTTTTTTGGATTGGATTGGATTTGGATTGCTGTTTTGTTGAGAAAACGGCGCATAGAGGGAAAGGAAAGGAATTGATTGTCAAGAAAACAGTGGGATTTTCTTGTGCAGATGGATGGATCAGTAATGAGTGTTTTAAAAGTGATTTGATTTGATATCTTGGGGAAGATGGAGGAACCTTCTGTTCCATTGGTTCATTCAAGAGAATGTGTGATTTATGTGGGTTTTGGGTTGGTTATAGGTCTAGGGTTCTAATCCTCTGTCCTCTTTGTGTCCTAGTGTGGTTCAACTTGCTGCAATCAATCAGCTGTTGTTTTCTACAGGGGGCATTTCATTTTCTTTAGTGTTGTGCTTTTTAAATATCGACTATTATGTATTGTATCAGAGGTTTTTTTAAATATTGACTGTTATGTATTGTATCAGTTCTAAATATTGACTGTTAATGAGTATTTGGAATAATATTTCTCCACCAAAAGTTCAGTTTTTTGGTTGGCTTGCTTGGAAGGGTCGAATCAAATCAAGAGCTTTCCTCCAAAGAGTGAGGTGTCTTAGTGATGAGGCTCAATTGAACTGTGTTTTTTGCAGCTGTGAGGTGGAATCAGGGTGTCATGTTCTGGTGCAGTGCCCCTTTGTTTGGAGGATCTGGACAAATTTGCTGAATTGGTGGGGTTTGATTTGGGTGATACCTGAAAAGCCCAAAGGGCTATTGGATTGGTGGAGAGGGTACAAATGGAGAAAGTTTGAACAGAAAATCTGGGAGGCAATTCCTTTGGCAGCACTGTGGTCTGTGTGGAGGCTTCGAAATGAGTGTATCTTTAATAAAAAACAACCTATATTGGAGGAGGTTTGTGAGCTAATTAAAACTAGAGTTGCATTGTGGATTACTGCAACCTCTAGCGAATTCCATTACTCAGTGCATGATGTGGTGGCCAATTTGGATCAGGTAAGGCATGCATTACATTGTGGCTGACTTGGTGGTATTGTTGGGGGTTTTATTGTCCACATTGGTGAGCAAATTAGGGTACATAATATCAATAGCCTGAAGATGTGGAGGATTCCGAACAGATGTTCTGGGTTGCCTAGAGGCAGAGAAGCATGCAGTGATCAGAAGAAGCCTATCTGATGAGGGCCTCAATAGGTGGTGACTTGCTGTGTTTTGGTGCTCTATCCCTTGGAGGATTGTTCCGCTACCTGATCTATTGCTCCAGCAGTGGGGTTTTTGGATGTTTGGTTTTCGAGGGGCTGCAGAGGTATTTCTAAATAAAAGTGTGTATCATGTTGCTGCTGTAATCTACCTGTTGTTGATCTGGGTTGAATAGAAGTGTCCAAGAGTCTAATATCGCAGGTGCTACTTATTGAAGTGTATTTGTTCTACCTCTGGCCAACTAGCAGCAGCAGGCAATGTTTGATGGTGGAGATGGTTGGCCTACATCCTCATCTGGATTGCTGTTGAAAGTAAGGAAGAAGACTTCGTCCTCATCTGTGTTGTTGTTTGTTGAGCTTGCTGGTTGCTAGTATGTCTGATTATTTTTTTCCCAAATTGATTAATTTCACAAACCCACAAACCCATTTCATGGAGTAAATGTGTCACCCTTATACTAAATATTTGTTTCAATAATAGATTAAGCATATATAGGCATAGTAGTATGTTATGATGTTGGCTATGGTGAGTTGGTGAGTTGGCTATGGTCCCTGGTATGGTATGTTATGATGTTGGTGTGATGGTCCCTGCTCAGATAGGTTCAGGCTGTGTATGTTATACTTATCCTTATCCTGCTCTGTCTTCTACTCTTTCTTTTATCTTTCTCTTTGTTTCCTTTATTGGTTCCTCACCAATTTAGGGTCTTGTGCTTCTTGCTCTTCTCTCTTTGTTGATGTAAGCTGTGTATGTTATACTTCTTCATCAATAAAGTGGGCTTTTGTTGATCAAAAAAAAATGTATTGTATCAGAATTTATGTGATGAGATTTTAGATTTTTTATACTGTTATTTATTAATATAGCGATATTGTCAATTAAACTTTTATATTGGTTGATATATGATGCATATCCCAATAGACCACAATTTGAATCTTAAATTTATATAGGAATTTTTGGAGAATAAATAAAAAATAAGGGAAAAGTGACAAAATTTTTGTTTTTATTTCTATCAATTTTTCCTTTTATTTTTCATAAATAAATTGATTGACCCAAATATAGCCTGAGTGTTCAATTGATAATAAAAAAAAATTGATTTACAAACATAATTTTTATACAAAAACATCATGTAGAATGATAGTAGCATTTTTTAAATTATGAATAAAAATAATGGTTGTTTTTTTATTTAAAAAGAAAAATGTTCATAAGAGGTTACATAATTTTTTTAAATGTTCATAATTTTATCATTAGTGCTATGTTAAATTTTAAAATTGTGTTTGGATCATGAAATTTAATAGGAGTTTGGAAAATGAAAGTAAAAAGTTGAATAAAATGTAATTATATTTTATTTACATTTTACTTATATTTTCTTTCTCTAAATTACTGTCCAAATTCATAATTCAAAAACAGCCTAAAGACTTATAATCACGATGGAAGCAAGAAAAAAGAGGCAAAGATACCAACTTCTAGAATTTTAATTGACAGGAAGGTAATTATGTTATGTATAATCTTCTAAAAAATGTAACGTCTTTTCACAAAACCAAAAAAGGCCAAAATAAAAACATAAACTAAAACAAAAACAACATAAGATTTCCAGTTTGTGATGGTTTTTGCAACATAAGAAACATTGTGCAGAGACATTTATACCTTGTAATGTTTTGTTTGGTACATCTTTTATCATGAGTTCTGATGGTGCAATATAGTCACTGTTGGATGGGTCAGACTGATACACGTGTTTCACGGGCCTAATGGCCTTCGTCTCCTTGATGTGTGCTTGCAAAAGGTCCGGTGGAGAGGTGCCAAGACTAGAGTGGTCTCTCCCTGTAGACGCTCTTGTAGGACAATCTACATTGTATTTAAATAAATTAAATTAAATTCTGTTGTGTACTAAACAACAACCAGAATATAAAGAAATAAAGGAAATGAAAGAATTTGTTTGATTACAAAAATCAAACTCGAAATAAAAATAAATAAATAAAAACAGATTTTATTTTGTTACAAAAATAAAATTAACATCTGATTTAAATAAATAATAATAACACTGAAAATAAATTAAATAACTTACTTGATATAATTTCTTCGAATTATAATCTGATCAAGTCCGGTGTTTGACACTATGTCCTTAAGACAGATTCGTCCTCTCCACGGTGCTTTCAGAATTTGGACGTCTATCTCCCAGGATGAAATGATCTACTACAAACAATAGCAGCACTACAAATTGTTTTCCTTACGAACACACTAAGTGTTTACACTCTTTTTTTTCAGAAATTAAATGCAGCAAAATGCAGAGATTTATAGCAGAGAATGGAGTACGAAAATTGATGTAAAATCCAAATGGGAGGCTAGTCTATTTATATATGTAAAAGTGGCTGCTGGTTTTGAATTGAACAGGTATGAAACCTGTTGGTTTTGAATTCAAACAGATTTGAATCTGTTGGGTTCATAATTTAAACAGATACAAAAAATAGGAAGGGCCCTGTTTGGATGTACAGTAAAACCCAGATTAGTTTATTTCGGGAAGGGTCTTGTTTGGATGTACAGTAAAACCAAACCAGTTTATTTCTGGTTTAATTTGAATTCTGGATTTTATTTTATACAAAATAAAATTAAATTTAAATGTTTTTTGCCCAAAAAGATTAATGTTGGGCTGAACAAGTCCAACCCAACCTCACACCACGCATCCGCGCCCAAGCCCAGCCCAGCCCCCCAACCGGACGGCGGCGGCGCGCGCACGTGTGTGGTGATTTTTGGGTCCAATGGGTTTAGCCCATTTGTCCATAACCTCTCCCTCTAAAACACTTGGGTACCCCTTGGGGCACACCCCAAGTACCAAATCCAAACCTTATAAACCCATTCAAAACTTCCCACCAAATCAATGTGAGACAAGCCATTTTACAACCTTAAGGAATTTTTACCAAAACTCCATTTCCATGGAGCACACTTTGGCTTCAATTTTCCATTCACTCGATAATGGTTTTGAGCAACTAAATATACCACGTGAATCACAACGCGGCATAGAACGCGTTACCACTTTGACCCGCGAAAATCGACGCTCGAGGCCCACCTAAAAAATAGACCAAACTTAGGAAAAAATTCTGGTTTTATCCAGAACTTTAAAACCATTTCCAACAATCCCCCACATGAATGGAATTTGATGACAACGGAAACGCAACAATATGCAGACTTTATCGAAAGAGTATAAGTGAAAAATATCTTGTATCAGGATAGGTAGCTTTCGGCCTTGAAACTTCCCTAGTGATAACCTATCGGACTTACTGGCTAACCAATGGACACGATGCCTTGAATTGTTCAGCCGTTTGTGTAAGCCAAGACAATAGATTTACACAAAATATCTTCTAACACATCGTGGTTCTTACTGTTGTGTTCATTTTGGCCTTGAACGCAACTGGTTTTCATAAGTGTTTCTAGAGAATTTAGCCTCTTCATTCTCATAGAACCGGCCCCAGTTCAACACTCATATAGGTGATTCTTATTGTGAGTGTCTCCTTATACTCGTCTTGATTTATGCCTCAATCAAGATATAAGTAATCATTAAAAGCAAAGCTTATCTTTATGCCCCTGCATACAACATATGTTGCAGATATCACTCTCACCATAGAAGTGGGTATGGAATTTTTAATCCCTTGGTGATTTCTGGCGAGCCATACATAACTTAGTTGTCCCTTTAAACTTAGTTCTTGGGATCTCCAGTCATATAAGTAGTGTTATCATTATGACAACTCTTATGTAATAGGCTTTAATCCCATCCCCTGCGGTGAACTATACACTAACTCTTTTGTCAAACCTTTTATTAACAGATCCGCAATATTCTCTTTAGATTTTATATAATCTATTGAGATTATTCCGTTTGACAACAATTGTCTTACGGTATTATGTCGACGACGAATATGTCGTGACTTACCGTTGTACATATGATTATGTGCCCTACCTATTGCAGATTGACTATCACAATGAATGCAAATAGCTGGCACATGTTTTGGCCACATTGGAATGTCTTCTAAGAAGTGACGAAGCCATTCGGCTTCTTCTCCTGCTTTGTCCAAAGCAATGAACTCGGATTCCATTGTGGATCATGCGATGCATGTTTGTTTCGTGGATTTCCAAGAAACAGCAGCGCCTCCCAGAGTAAAGACATATCCACTTGTGGCTTTTGAATCTTTAGTATCCGATATCCAATTGGTATCACAATAACCTTCAAGTACTGCTGGATATCGAGTAAAGTTCAAACTATGATCACGAA